TGTTCAGTAGTTAGTTGCAGAAAAAATAACAATTGCATAACACAGTTGGATCATTTGTAATCATTTGGGGGAAAATGCCAATTTTGGTCCTGATACTGGTATTGATTAATATCAGGTATGCTTAAAGCTTTAGTAGTATCTATTTAGTATCATATCGGAGCTGGAAAAGCTGGATCAGCACATCCTTGAAAATTATTCGGAAGTTGTAATTTCTTCATACTCCTTTTCTAATAGGGATGTGCAAAAATATCAGAATATCATTATATCGTATTGTTTAATGTGTTATATATAGTACATATAGTAGATACAGTATAGATATCATGGGCTGCTGTATCAATTTATCACCAAGAGTATTTTTTTGTATATTTTACTAAATTATTTTGTTACAGAGCTACAGTTTTGTTGTTTGTTTAGAAGAAGGAAACTCTTTTATGCAACACATTTGACATTTTCATTGCTTTAATGAGTAAAATGGGCATTTTTCAGATTAACTTTGCACAAGAAGTGGACCATTATTTTTTATTGAACCGTATCAAATCGCTTTGAAATACATCATATCGAATCGAAAGTGCACTGTATCGATATCGTATCGTGGCCTGTGTATGGAGGTATGTATCATATCAGCAACTTCTTAATGATGCCCAGCCCTATTTTCTAATGTTGACATGCTGTCTTTGTTAAGTATTCTTGATTATTCATTCATGTTTTGTTATTATTATATGTTCTGTCATGTTTGTAATAAAATGAATGCATCCTCCAGTTAGGTACCAAGTCTAGCAAACAGAGGACAACTTTGAAGGATGGGTCAAATGCAGAAAATACATTTTCAATAAACCATACTCTTATTTTGTTTCTTTTCCCTCTACTTTTGTGATTGTTTTATCAAATAGAAGCAGCCGATGCAAGAACAGCCTATCAATTGTGCCACCAAAAGAATCATCTCTGAATTTGATATTATACAAATGATTCTAATTCTCGCCAGTAAATAATAATCATTCCTTTGAACTGCTGTTTTTACTCTACATGCCTTGCCCACTTTTGTTTTGAAGGTTTGGAATGTAGGTTTGTATAGCTGTATTAGAAAACAAATACATGGAATGCTTAAAGGAAAAAGTTCACATGCTATATTTCATCATGCAAACTCAATATTGATACTAAGGAATAGTCTCGATACTCAGTACTGATTCCAATACCTCAGTAAATTAAAAACACTCCTTAGGTGGGTTCCAAAGTGGTCCATGGGCGTATACTAGTCTATGTGCTCTTATACTTGTTCTCATACAGCTCAGCAGTGGCGGACTTAGCAATTTGGGAGCCCTAGGCGAATTTGAGTTTGGAACCCTCACTATAATGCGCTTTTTTTTTTTTTTATATATTTATTGTCTGTTCTTTCCCATTGTTCTTGAGACATGCACATCTCTATTTATTTGAATCATGGTGGATTGGAAACTTGTCTTATTAGTTACTTGGCCTACTAGATAACCAGAACTGAAAGTAGTTTTATTTTTTTTACTAGTACAATTATATTTTTGTTTACATCCATTATACTACTACTACTACTACTACTATTAATAATAATAATACATTTTATTTATTAGGTGCCTTTCTGGACACTCAAGGTCACTTTACAACAACATAAACAAGTTAAATACTATTAAAACATGCAATTAAAAGCATACAGTTAAAGTGGGACAGTATTTTAAATTACTGATTGTATTTAATTTCATTACTTTTGATTATTTTATTTTTTTTTTATAATTATAAACTACTCTCATTTAATCTGATATTGAAAGAAAATCAAATTGCTCTGAGGCCTCGGCTATTAATGACACTGAGGGCAATTGTGGCCCCTCCAGGTTTGGGGCCCCAAGTAGCCACCTACTTTTGCCTAATGGTAGCACCGCCTGTGCAGCTCAAGATCATTGTAAAGCTAGTCAGGAAAGGTTCTTTTCAGTCCTGTGTACGTGACTTTTTGCATAGAATTGATCTTATGTACCTAGCATTTCTTTAAGTATTGGCACTTTCTAATAAATATTAGGCTATATGGCCACACCAGCTTGTCCCAGTTTAATGCCATACTGTGCAACATTCTAATTTCACCCCAACATGAAAAATGACATAGTCCACCTTCATGCTTTTCTAGCTAAATTACCATTTTTTGGCATATACAAGGCGTGGGACTGAGCTAAAAAGAGTCTTGAATGTCCAATGACGACAGGTTTTACTGGATTAAAAAAGGAAAACGTGACGGCATATTACAGTATCTGACAAAGGAGTAGGAAGAGCTCTGAAAAAGTAGCTAAACAACAAGGGAGCCACGCGAGACAAAAGATGTTCAGAGAGAGGAATGTGTGAAAAGACAGGAGCAGTGAATAAGAGAAAGACGAGCTGGCCTGCAGGAAGTTGAACACAAGCCCCGAAAAAAACAATAACTACTGCCCTACTTCCTGTTCAAAGGTGGGAAAAACTTCACAACAGAAAAATGTGCCCCAACAAAAACACTGCATTGTTCAGCAGTGTCCCCAGGGAGAGTCCCACGTCCCTGAAGACACCGGGCTGTTTGCATAATTGACGTGCATACGCAAAACCAACGTGACACAAAGCAGCAGGACACGCATTCAAATGAGAGGTGTACAATACAATATGACATAAGGAATCTACGGACAACTCATCTGTGGTGTTGAGCATTTTCTAATCTGATTGTCTCCATGGAGATGTTATTGCTTTGTAGTGTTGTTGCAATACTAAATTTCAAACTCAATTTGTTACTAAGGAAAAGGCTCTGTACATTTTACCAATTTTGATACCACAATGATTCAGTTTGGGTTTGGGCACTTGGCCTTTGGTTTCTGCACAAACATCAATGTTGTTCTGTGATCGGTGCGCCCACCCAATTAACCGTACAGCAGGTATATACAAAGATGGATTCTCTTGAGTTTGTGAACTCACTAATATAGCAAGGTTACAAAATCTGGAATGTTTATGGTTTTTCAGTAGCGACACTTGTTAAATTGAGTATCTATTTTCAATACTGGTTTAATATTGATTAGAACCAGATTTTTAATACTGTTGACATCCATATTGCTTTGCCTGAAATGTTCCATAGTATAGCATTAACTTATCATCCATCCATTTTCTTCCGCTTATCCAGGGCCAGGTCACAGGGGCAGTAGTCTAAGTCTAAGCAGGACTCCCAGACTTCCTTCACCCCAGACACTCCCTCCAGCTCCTCCGGGAGGATACCAAGGCGTTCCCAGGCCAGCCAAGTGACGTAGTCCCTTCAGCGTGTCCTGGGTCTTCCCTGGGGCCTCCTCCCAGTGGGACATGCCCGGAACACCTCCTGAGGGAGACGCCCAGGAGGCATCCGGAACAGGTGCCCATTCCACCTGAGCTGGCTCCTCTTGAGGTGGAGGAGCAGCGACTCTACTCCGAGCTCCTCCCGTGTAACTGATCATTTTACATGTATTTATTACAGAAGAAAAATACCTTACCTCTCCACAAATCTGACCTGTACCTTGGCCTGATAGTGCTCGTGTTTATGGATAGACATTTCTGGCCATACTGTGGAACATTCCAGATAAAGCAATGATATCTCCAAGGAGACAAGCAGGTTGCAGACCCTCCACCAAAAAAATTCCACAAAGGACTTTTAATTAAGTCCTACATGAACAGTCCATAGCTTTGAGAAACTTAGACTCCACTATCCAGTACAGTCCATCTACAAGGCACAAACGGGCAGTGTGAGCTAACCCTTTGTCCTATCTCCATCCCTTTGGTTGTGTATGTGGGACCAGGCCGCAGTCACCATCTCTGCAAGCTTACATAATAGTTCACCAGCTGACCATAGACGCATGACAGACCAGGAATTCACCCGGGCTGGCCCCTTCATTGGGTACAGGACAGGGGGCAGAGGCTAAATACACATCAACCAAGTTTATCTCATAGAAAATACCCCCCACTGAGAGACAAACCACAGGAAATAAGACCAAAAAATGCTATATAAACCTTTCAGGACAGGAAATTGTAATGAGGGGAAAGCCGATAAAAGACTTACTACACCCTATACAAAGCAGTGGGGTATAAGCCTTTTCAATTGACCTGTGTCTTATAAGTGCAGTTCATAACAGTTTTACATAAAGCGACTAGTGTTTGCTCTATAAACTAGTTTAGGTTTTGGTGAGGTGAATTATGGTTGTTTATACACAAAACACAGTCTTATGACAGAATTTAAGATTGCAAAAGAAAAGAAAAAAGAAAGAATATATAATCAAAAATAGTTCAGTCCAGTGGTATATAGGTTGACATAGCTTAAAAAAAAAAAAAACCTGTGTAAAAACTTACTAGCGCCGAAGCTCACTAAAGAAATTCTTGATCAGCTAAAGCCATCTTGCCGGCCGATTAGCCGGGTAAAAAGGGGGTGTGATCTCTATGATGTGACCCAAACTGCACTCACAAGAGAATAACTACACAGGAGTTCAACCAAAAACAAGTATTTGCATGGTGTATAAGAATTTAAATTGTCTTTATATGAAAAAAAAAAAGCAGAATAAACTCATGCACTCATTAAACTCAGATCCTTAAAGGTGCATGTTGTAACTTTTCTTGTGGAGGGTTCTGTCAAATTATTTTCTCCATGGACATGCGATAGCTTCATTTGGAATGTTTCGCAGTATGGTATTAAACCTTTCTATCTTCATGGAGACCAAACTAGATAAAGTTACAGGTCAGCTCTGTGAAGAGGCGACCATGCTCTCTGTCAGAATGCTTGTTTTTCCAGGTATTTCCAAGCTATAAAACCACCTGTAATTGAAAACTTGTAAGGTAGAGCTGTTTAAAGTCATACTGTGGAACATTCCAGGCAGAGCAATAACAGGAGATGATGGACCCCACAACAAAAAAGTTACATAGTGCACAATTAAAATCTAAACATAATAATTAATCGACTTATAAAAAATTTTGGTTGACTAAAACAACACTGATCAAAGTTCTCCTGTACTTACAGTTATTGCGTTGTCTTGATCTCCTCGGTCACCATCTTCTTCTTTCTTCCTCTTCCTTTAACCAACTTCAGTCTGAAATGAGACGATACACAATATTATTTCCATGAGCACATTTCGGACCCATTCAACACCTGCCGTGGTTTAACTTAGTGACTTATTATCCACACAGACCAGCTGACTCTTTATGGACCCCACGGAGCTTATCACTGAAGCTGGTGAAGTGCGCTTGGCATCGAGTACAGGCAAAGTAAATAGGTTACCAAGCGCAGCCCAGTCTGAGGTTTAGGTACGATATGCAAAATGTATTCAAAGGTACGCTTCAGCTCGTACAGTCAGAGGAACATACGGAAACAGCACCCTTGATACTTTTCTGTGATTGTATAAAAAGTAGTTGTAGTTATTTCATGGCTGGAGGACTGAGAGCAAGTTACGAGAAGTCTGCGCAGAAAAATTTTGTGATTCAGTTAGTTGATAACAGTCAGAGGAGTTGTTTGTAGTACTAGTGGTAGTAGTAGAAATACTGTGTCTGCTTCTTTATCTTTGTCTCTTTAGGCTGTTATCTTAAATGTCCTTCACTAAATAAATCATGTGCCTCCGAGCATGAAGTATTCATTGTTTCACACTATACTGGTACTACTAACTATTCTTTCTCATTTGCCTCAGATGCCCTTCCCACCCAGTTTCCTGATCAACTGGGACAGTGAGTTTCTTGACCTACTAGATAATACTTATATAATACTTTTTTTTTATAGACACCCAAATGCTATTGAAGCATATTTTGGACATTTTCAGCATTCAAGATTTCAACATTGTCAGTTTAAGGAACTGTTGCACAACACAATTACAAAGTCATTCTAATAAGCAAAACTAGCCAGTGGAAACACTAGCAATTTTGAAGAGGGGCCAAGAGATCAGAAATAAATCATGTAAGAAGAAGGAAAGATTTTTTAGGAATGCACCTCCTTAGTCCCTGGGATAAGGTCCGTTGATCCTGTGCAATGACTTGACTGTAACTCTACTCTCAATAATGATTTCAGCCAAAGTCTCTCATCTTTCCACAACTTCACAAATCCTGCACATCAACACACTATCCTGTTCATTTTGGGGAAGGACGGGTAATTATTAGACGGTGTTTTCCCCATTTTTTGGTAATCGTGCCGACCTCCTGCGGTGGCCAATGTCAGATTACGCTAAGAAATGACCGGCGGGGCAAGCGCACAATTGCATTCCTGTGTCAGCCTCCCCATGACTCAAACCTTTACACCAATTACAGAGACGTTTGAATCACAAACCATCGCTAAATACATAAGATAATAGCGACTGTAGGATTCAGATTCAAACTGTCAAAAGTACAAAAGCTTATGCAAGAACAGGTATGGAAAAGTGCAACAGATATTGTAAAATTATAAAATGAAAAATCCAGGGTGTATGTTCTTCATACAGTCCAAAACGCAGTCTAGCAAAAGAAATAGGGACAATCATCGTCTTTAATTTGTAACAAGGCAAATGTGAAATTTCAGTTGTGACCTGTGGTAAACTCTAATGAATAACTCTAATGATCATACATACGGCTGCACCAATGCAGCTTTTTCTGTTCAGATACCGATGCCGACACCGACACTTTGGCCCTAAGGATCAACCAATGCAGAGACTGAAAATATCATTTTTTTTTTTTAAACACAAACTGGATATGGTTAAAAATGACCAAATGTGGTGTGTGATTTCTCATTTAAAGTATATACAGACCAGCAAAAATAATACAAAGTGTTTAGGACCAACATTGTCCAGTCTATCATCTTTTGTCAATTTACACTGCAGACCAAAATGGGATATCAATGGGATATCAACTCAACTGATATCTTGGGACCTAGGGATGTAACAATAACCAAAATATCATCAAAAGTCTCACACTAATATCATGGGACATTACAAGATACTGAATTACAAGTTTTTTTTGTTAAATACAGTGTGATGGGCCCACAATAGCTAAAAAACAAAGAACTACATAGACCATGACCCTTTGCTCTGTTTCAGTCCAATCTAGAAGATGAAATAACTGTTAAAAAGTAGTAGAAAAGTATATTGTATATTTATAATTTTGTTAGCCTCTACAAAATATCGCAATAAGTATTGTACCGTGAGATGCATATTATGAAAATACTATATCGAGACTGATCCAACAAAATGTTCGATATCTCAGACCAGTATTGTATTAGTGCAACTCTAATCATACCATTTGTTAAAGTTTCAAGCGTTTTGTGTATCCAGAAGCTTAACAACCACAATGATCCGTTTCTTAACCCAGCAACTCAACCAACAGCAATTTTACATAAAGATTTTCAAACCACAATTACGGTAAAGAAAATATGCAAAAACACTATTGCAATATAAACTTCCTTCTAACTTTGACTTTGCATTTATCTATTGCCATTTTGCAGCAATGAACTGTTTCTAGTATACTGTTTTTTTAAGTGTCTCAAAGTGTCTAATGAAATTCAAAAAGAGGTATAGGCCCTCGGTGCAGTAAAATAGTGCAGTAAACATCACGGCAGCATGTACTTCAGACACATCTTCTCTTGTTCTCTTAGATCCACACTATTGGCAAACAAAATGGCCTCTGCGTTAAACTTCCATTAGCTTCCCTTACTCACCAGTCATCTGAAGCCACGGCCATTACTTTCCAGTGACATCACGTCTGCTAAATGGAGAAACAAAGACGAAGACGGGGGGACAAATCGTGAGAAACTGGGTCACTGTCCGCACTTAAACATGTGAAGAAAAGAGGAGCCCGGACTCAGCTAATCTTTCTTTCTGAACCTGCCAGGAGTCTGCGTAGCGTGAAAAGTCCAGCTACGCGATACCCTCTCTTCTGTACAACAGCAGTGTCCAAATAACAAGGAAACATTCAAGAGTCACACATTTGAATTGCAAAATAGGAGTCCGGCTTCACGTGACAATACAGCATTCTATACGGCCCGTAGTTTAACACTGAGCTTGAGGGCAGGTCACAATCCTATGGTACCACTTGCATTTTCACTGTCAGAATGCAAATGTTTGACCTGGTTTAAGGTAAGAATTTATTATTTAGCTACTGGGCCTGTCCACGAAAAGGCTCTTGACTGCAAGCATAAAATGTATGAACTGAGGTGAAATTTTGTTTTGAAAAGTGGCGGCATTGTTCAAATTGACAATCACTATTTTACGCCATTAATGCCACAGTATTAGGGGCGTAACAGTACACAAAAATCACGGTTCGGTTTTGAAGTCAGGGTTAATTTTTGGTACAGAATGGGAACAAAATGCAAAACCATTTGTGTGTTTATTAAATCTACATTCATGTTTTAACATTATACAAACAGGAAAATAAAATAAATGCAAAGTGCTGCTTGGTAATACTAAAAAGTAAAATAAAATATTCTCAAATAAGCAACAAACATATGAAAAAAATCAATTCCTTATAAACAGTAAACAAAACCTTTCAAAAAGTAAAGTGCAGCACTAACAGTTCCAGCATAAAGTTTTACTCAATCTTCAGATTTTTGGCCAGAAAAAACAGCTTGTCCACACATCTGCAGCAAGTACAGATCTGCTGCAGTTACAATGTCTCCAGTGGTTGAAAATATGTAATATGCGGAGATTCCTTACCAGCGAAAGGCAAAAGTGAGGACAGCGGTGTGACAACTGTAGTTTTGTGAGGATTCATATGGTTTGGGGGGACGTAGTCAAGGCACGGGGGCGATTGTTGTCAATGCGACCACCCTAACTATTGATTTACACACAAAATAGTGAAATAAAAACACCAGGATCACATAAAGCGGATTAACATGAACATTTTATGTCCAAACTAGAAAAGCACTCAGAGAGCGCAGACCTCCGCCAAGGACTACAGTCCCCCTCATATTAATTGTGTTTTCCATAAATATTTGTCTCGTATCTTTCAATTTGGAATATGAAAGAGGATCCCATTGTCCATCCCTGAGTCAAATTTCATGAGGTTTGGTCAATAATTAACCGAGATATTGAGAAACAAAATTTTTGGCCCCATTTACCACAATGTTAACAAAAATTTCAAAGTGATCCAGAATCCAGGATTTCTTCTGGATCACCCCCAAAATGAAATCAGTCCTTCCTTTTCACATTTCCAACAAATCCTGAAAATTTCATCAAAATCGGTCCATAACTTTTTGAGTTATGTTGCTAACAGACAAACAAACAAACAAACAAACAACAAACGCCGGCAAAAACATAACCTCCTTGGCGGAGGTAAAAATGGGGACAGCAGCAGTTTCAGATGAAGTTTTTTTTTTTTTTCAATACAAAGTGATTTGGAGCCAGAGTAGATTGAAGCCAGAAATGCCCCATGCTCACTTCCTATATGGAACGCAGCAGCTAGCAGGTTACCTATGTCACCTGTGCCAATACAGTCTTTCACTGTGAGCAGACTTGCATCTCCACAAACCTGACTCTTATTTGACCTGGAGGAGGGAGCTGGAAATGCTATAACATTCTACTGTATGTCATAAAAACTTATCTATACCTCCATGTAGACTGTTTTGACGTATGATGTTAACTTTCTTAAATCATGCAGGTGACATGCCACTACCAAGAAATTACATACTGTATTTTTAATCAAGGAAATTTGTAGACTTTTACTTCCTAACAAGAAATGGTTTAACATCTGTAGGTCTTTTTGGTTCTTTTGTTCAAAATGTATGAAGTCTCCACAGAGCTATCCACGAAGCTGCCCTCCTAAAGTGATTACATAAAATCCCAGAATGTTATGAAAGCCACCAATTGACCCCAAAATGGCCACCCGCAACGTCAATCCGGGTTTAATGTTTGGAAAAGTAAGAAATATTTTTTAGAGAATGGCACGGCCACAGTGACCCGCACGGTTAGTTTAACAATGTCAAGAGAAATTAAGCAAATGAAATGGTTGAAATTCTCCACATTTTTGTAGAGTGCACTCAAAACTTATCAAGGACCTTAAATGTGATAGAGACTCCAAGTTACATCAAGTTCAACTGATAATTTGGAAGAACACAGTGTGTTTAAAGGGACAACAAAAATCC